ATGGCAGAAAGAAAAATGAGAATTTTTTTTTTGTACTGGGGATTGAACTCAGGACCTTGCCCTTTTGAGGCAGGCAGCAGAACCATTGAGCTAAATCCCTGGCCCTAAAATAAATATATTTAAAACAATTCAAGACATTAAAAAGAAATAGAAACCATAATGAAACACCAAGGAATCATTAAATTGGGGCAGAAAGACTTGAAATGCAAGCATGAGATAGTCTTGAAATTAGCAAACTATATAAAGCCATTAAAGTTTACAATGTAAGGGGGCTGGGTCTGACACTTGGTGACAAAGATATACTTTAAGGAAATCACCAGGATGCAGCACAAATGAATAAAGTACTAAAAATTATGAAAGAGAGGTTAAGAAACAAGAAGGTAGAAATGCAAATGACATATAGACATACAGGCAGACACATGTTCATGTACATACATGTGCGCATGCATATGTAAAACATGTTCCAAGGGAAAGGATGGAGAAAATAGGGCTGTACAATCTCAAGAGCATTTTTGCCTGAGAATTTTTCAGAATTAAAGAGAAATCTTAATTTTCAAATTTAATCTTAAAAAAATCAAACAAATCACAAAGCAAAACCCACAATGAGCTTTGACAATAAATAAAAATTAACCCATTCTTGGAAAACTTATAATAGGCATGCAGAACAACCAAGAAAAAAGAAAAAATTAAGTATAGCTAGAGAGAAAGAAAAACAGTACACTTAAAAAAGAGATGAAAGTTAAACCAATGAGTAAGTCCAGGCACCATCAAGAAATGCTGAAGGACAGAGGAGTGTTACCTTCAAAGTACTGAAAAGAAGTAGCCATTAATTTAAAATAACTTAATATAGTTAATATATTTTGTGGCTAACCTATAATTCAAGAGCAAGGGTAAAACTGAGGCATTTTTGGAGAATTTTCTCACTCAGGGGCACATCTGAAAGTAACACTAAGATTATACAGTAAGTTACTCTAAATAACACTACAGTGTTTACTTCAGGAAAAAAGACGTTAAATACAGCAGGGTGTGAGAAACGCAAAAAGCAATGCTGAACAAAAAACTCCAGCAAACTTATGGATAAATACAAACAAGCACTGACATCTGTAAGTAGCAAAATAATACAAATTCACAATGACCACTAAGGTGATGTTAAAAAACAGGTAGAAATAGAACAGTGATCAATGAAAATGGAAGATGGGCAAGGACAGTTTGCATTAAAACATCCTAGGAACGGGTCGGGGATTTAGCTCAGCGGTTTCGCCACCTGCTGCGCAGGCGCAAGGATCCCCAGTACCAAAAACAAAACAAAACAAAACAATAAAAAAAAACGCATCCTAGGATCCTTATTTTGTTCTCTAGAGACTAACTTCAACTTTGGAATTTGTTAAATCCCAGGTCAATGTTGAATGTAAGGGTAAAGGCAAGGGATATTGTGTTTGCGAGTTAGCTACTCAGTGTAGTAACTGTGCTCAAACTGATCCATGCGTTGAATGCATTTCAATCACAATTTCAGAAGGATTTTTCTTGTAAATACAGACAAGCTGATTTTAAACCTTACATGGACAGGCAAATAAGTTAGAATAGATAAAACAATTCTGAAAAATAATAAAGTTGGAAGAGTCATACTACTTTTAAGACTTAGTATAAAGCATTAGCAAGCAAGACCATGTGATACTGGAGAAGGGATAATAGACCAATGGGACAGAAAAAAAAGTCCCGAAACGGACTCACCTATGGCCAGTTCTTTTTCAGTGCTGGGGAAGAAACCCAGGGCCTCACACGTGCTAGACAATCACTCTACCACTGAGCTACGTCCTTCACCCAAGTTGATTATTTTTGATAAAAGTACAAACTAATTTTATAGAGAAAAGATAATCTTTCAATGAATGATGCTAAAACAATTTGACATCTAGGCAAAAAGGAAAAACTAACCTTGTAAAAAAACCTCAAAATGGATCATAGATCTAAATGTAAATGTAAAACTGTAACACCTTTAAAAATATATAGAGAGGGAAATCTTCCTGTTCTAGGGTTAGGCAAGGAGTTCTTAAATGTGGTACTAAAGGTATGACTCTTAAAAGTAAAAAAAAAAAAAAAAAAAAAGACAGATTAGATTTCATTAAAATTTAACACTTTTGTTCTGCAAATGTCATTGTTAAAAGAATATACAAGATTAGCTAAAGACTGGGAGAAAATATTTGCAGATTTCATACCCAATAAAGAAGTTGTATTCAGAACATGTAACCAATTCAAACTCAACAATAACAAAGTGAATAACTCAATTGAAAAATGGGCAAATGACTTGAACAAACAATTCACCCTAAAGGACATTTGGATGACAAATGAGCAGCACATAAAGGAATGTTTCACATCATAATCTTCTACTTATACAAAAACTTGAACACAAATATTTATAGCAGCTTGCCATGGGCCAAGCCTGAACATGGCTCTTTGCCTCCTCCCTACTCCCTTTCTCCTCCATAGATTAGACCCCGGGTGACAGACACAGCCTCAGAGACAGTTGCACTAAGTATCCTTCCCATTTCCCTTCCTGCGCATGCCCTGATCACAAAACAATCACGCTACGTTCCACCTAGGCCACGTAGGCCACATAGCACTATTTGCCCGTCTTCTCTTCCTGTTTGCCTTCCACTATAAATCAAGAGTACATGGGACTCCAGGCAGCCATTAGCTTCCGACAAGCTATGGTTCCACCTGGTCCCAACGTCTAAGAATAGTCTTTATTTCTTTATTTTTTTCTTCATCTCCCACTACTCTCCCTGGCTTTGGACCCTATGCTGTGTGGGTTGAAGCAGCAGCTCTATTAATAATGATTACCAAGTGGACACAATCCAAGTGTCTCTCAACAGGTGAGTGCATAAATGATCTGTGACATATTCATGCAATGGAATCCTATTTGGACACAAAAAGGCGTAGACTACTGACTGATACACACCACTTGGATAGATTTCAAAGGTTTATGCCAGTCTCAAAAGGTTACATGTTGGGCCGGGGATTTAGCTCAATGGCTCTGTCGCCTGCCTTGAAAGCGCAAGGACCCGAGTTTGATCCCTGGTACCAAAAAAAAAAGGTTACATGTTATTTGTTCCCATTTATATGATATTCTCAAAAATCACAAAACTAAAGTGATAGAAGCAGAACAATGGTTACAGAGCTGGGAGAGTGCATGACTATGAAGGAATAGCAGGATTGAATTTTGGAAGTGATGAAACTGTTCTCTATGCCGATTGTGGTGGTGACTACACGAACCTATAAATGTGTTAAAATGTATTGAACCATACATTAGCTCTAACAAAATGTTACTGTAAGACACATTTTTAGAAACATTTAAAATGTAACATAACTAATAATGTATAACTTCCAAACCAGTGGGAAGAAAAAACAAGACCAAGGAAATAGGACAGCAGAAGGAGGAATAGCAAATATCCAAATGAGCAATTACTTAAGGCCACAGGCTAGCGGGTACCTCTGGGGAAAAAGAGAGGGGCTAAGGGGAGACAATGTCTTACTTTTTTAAAAAAAAGATGTATCTGACAATCCAAGTGTCCATCAACAGATGAATAGGTAAGCAAAATGTAATATATACATTAATATAGTATATTGTATAGTATAATAATATATTGAATATAATGTATAATAATATAGTATATTGTTCAGCCATAAAGGAGTAAATCCTAATTCAGGACTTACAGGACTTTGCTGCATGGATAAATCTTAAAAACATAATGCTATGTGAATGAAGCCACACACATAAAAGGACAAATATTATATGATTCTAGTTATGTATTAGTCACTTTTTAGTTGCTTGGACAAAGCACCTCACATACAGAAATTAAAGAAGAAAAAGTTTATCTTGGCTCATGGTTTCCAGAGGGTTCAGTCCATGGTTAGCTGGCTCCAAGACAGAAATAGTGTGGAGGAAGGGCGTGGCAGATGAAAGAAGTTCACCTCATAATGGCTGAAGGCAGAGAGAACAGGTAGAGCCAGAGCTCTCTGTTTAACAACTGTTCCTTGGGAAGTAACTAGACATCTTTGAGAGAGCCAAATCCTCATTTTATACCTTTTTGTTGCCCTTCCCTGGCTTCCAGAGGGATCAAATGATCATACTATATGAGGGCAATGTAGTATAAAGAATGATGGGTAAATGTACGATTGTCATGAAGCACCATGAACTATATTCCACAAATCTCATCATGATCCATTTTGGACCCTTCTTCCTCCAAGCCTCATTGTGGGCACTACTCACAAGTGTCCCCGGGTAGGTAGAGTTTGGGTCACTGCTGGCAGAAAGTACAGGGAATCACAGGAGGAGACAAGCCATCAGCTTCAGCCCGGGGCTTAGTTAGCTACTCCATAGCTCTATGTATTCCAGTATGTTCTGAGCTTCTGACGTGCTCTGGGGAGAAGCCAATTAAAGCCAAGGAAATTTTCTGGTTGTAGGGGGCAGCACTGCCCAGAGTGGTGTGCATCACCACACAAATGTCTCTATCAAATTTGTGAGATGCTCACTCATTCTCCATTGCCCTGAGGCAGAGATTGGAGGCCACTCACCAATGCTGGCTGAGGTGTACTGGTAGGGCTCTGAGAGGAAGTGTGGCAGGGTGAGAACAAAGGCACCTGCAGCCAGCAGGAGACCCCCGATGCCGATCAGTCTTGGTCGGTTTACCCGGCTGCCAAAGTAGCTAACAAAGATGATGAGGATGGCATTGCTGATCTGCAGAAAGAGAAGAAGGGTGGAGTGAGACCCCAGAGGGGACCTGACCAGACCTTGCTCAGGAAGACTGCGGTGTGAAGACGCTGCCTGGTGTTAGTGGGCCCTAGCAGAGCCACCTTAGCCTTGTCTCAGGAGGCCCAGCACCAGCCATATACCAGCAGCTTTCCCTCCATGATCAGAAACCTGTCACCATCTTCCAGAGCAGCCCAAGGGAAGTAAGTACGTATCTGGAGGTATGAAGGACTCTTAGGTTAAAAGCAACCATTTCCCCTCAAATCTTTTGGGGAAAAATTCAAGGAAGTTTCCAATTCTGGCTGGCTCCTAGGAATAGTACATGTTTCCTAGTAAAACCCCTAAGTCTAATGAGATCCTAATGAAAGGATCCAAGGGCTCTGAATTGGCAGTCAGAATAACAACCAAACAACACACATTATCTCATTTCACCATGCAACAGTCCTCACTTTACAGGTGATGAATATTAAGTAACATGTCCACACTCATGAGGTCAGGAGGTATCTTAAACTGGTGTCGCCTGACTTTAAAGTGCCCAGGCTCCATGATAGTGGTCTGCTGCCTCTTGGAGAAGTGGGTTTCTGCCTTAGCAGCTCTGCTTCTGCCCTTCCTCTGCCCTTCCATGGGCCTGTTTTCACTTGTGTAAAATGAGGGACAAGGACCTCAGTACTCTTAAGTTCCGTCCTGGTTGTAAACATTGGTTATTCTGTGTCTGGGGCTCCCTGGCAGGTGAGCTCTCTGGCCCCACCTCTTTAGCCCTTTCTCCCTGCAACCTTATTTTTCTTCATAGCACTTATCATAGTCTGATCTATGAGAAGCTTCATTGATCTTCATAAGTAAATATTACATGTATCCTTAGACTTTTGTCTACCTGTTCACCCTGCCTCCCCAGCACCTGGTACACAGTCCTTTAATATGTGTCGAGTCAGTGAAGGAACAAAGCGGCACAAGTAGACTTTTTAGAAGAGGACACAGCTGTCCAGAAACCCCTGCAGGGTGGCTGTGGGACCTAGAAAAGTGTGTGAGGGGTGTGAGGAATCAGCCTGGAGTGCCAGTCACCTCTGCTCCATCCCTTGCCAGAGTTGGCTCCTGGACATTCTGAAACCTGTGCCTGGAAAGAGAGCTTTACTCTTGTGCTTAAATTTTACTTTTTCCTTCTTGCTCCTCTCTCATTTTCCATGAAGTGATGGATATGTCAGGGCCCTCCAGCTGTGCCGACTGGAGCTGACTTGTAAGGCCTGTGGGAGAGGTGGTGGAGGACCCTAGGGGAGACTGGGAGGAAGGACTGTAGCCTGTTCCTCACCCACCTGCAGAGGCCCTTCTGGCTCTTCTGGGGCCTGGGCATGCTCCTCTGTGGGAAGCTGGCACTGCCTAGGTATTGGGGCTGATCCCTCAAACTTTTCACCAGCAGAGCTCTTTGGAAGAACCCTTTTTCCGTAATAGAAAACATACCCTGAAACTGCATCTGTTCTAGCCAGGAGAACAGGGGCACAGGCCTCTCCCCTCAGCCTGGAAAGCCTTTAGAAAAGGCTCTCTGGGCTTGATGGGAGGCCATCTGAAAGCCACCACAAGCCCATTAGTGACGCACCCTGCCCAGAGTCTCCAGCCCCAGAACACTAGTGCCCGGCATTAAGAGCTGAGCCTCCTGGGCTCCTGCTTACCTTGTTTGCTCTGCCCTGGCTGTCAGGGTAGACAACAGGAGCTGCCAGTTCCCAGGTCCAAGAGCCCCTGACCTCACTTGTTCACCAAGCCCTTCCTCCTGCTCATGAATTTCACACCCAGCCTGTGCCCCACACCACACCTGTGGGCCCAAGAAGGCTTTCTGAGAGTGAGCTGCTTTCTCAGACTAACTGGCCTGTGGCCCACTCAAACCCACTGCAGGCTTCATGGCCTGGATGGCCTACCACCCCCTGCAGCAGGCTGCATTCTGCTCACACCCTCAGGGTACACACACACACACACACACACACACAATCACACATGAATCCCTAAGCACTCATATATATGCACAGACACACACAAATATACATGCAGGCAGGTACACACATGACCACACACAAACGCTCAGATACCCACAGATGTGGGGTTATGCACACATATAAATACACACACTCATAGTCATACACAAATACTCAGACACACACACAGATATACACAGACACATACAGAGCCACAGATAAACACACACAGACACACATAGGCACACTCAAATACACAGAATAGGTAAACACATATCATGCAGAGACACAAATTTACATAAGGGCAGAAAACCAGACATACAGACAAAGATACACACACACAGTCACACGAACACCCAGACACAGTCACAAAAATCCAGAGACAGGTACACACACACATACACACAAACACTCACACAATCACATACACAGAGACATATATTCACACACACAATTGCATGCTTAGATACATAGTTACACATAAATACCCAGACACCATAGTCACACACTCACACACACACAAACACACACACAGGACTGTTGGTCAGACGAATGAACTCTCTGATGCCATTTGCCTCAAATTGTGCCCACAGGCATGATCTTGAAAAGGTTAGATTCTTGAAAATTTATCTGAGCCTGGGAAAGAGATTTAATGGTTATTTTCATTTTGATTGAACCATAGCCATGAGGAAGTATCATGTCTCTTATTTGCCTAATCAATTTTCTATCTTAAATGGACCTGCAACATGTTCCAGCTGGCTACTTCTTGCCCCTGGAAAACATTCAGTTATTCCTGGACTCACACTTTTGTTCTGAACATGGGACAATATGGATGAAAATTTAACCATGAGAAGTCATGGCTTTGGCTATCATTGGGGCTGAGCTGGAAGAGAGGATACCTTACTTGCCAGCTCTGATTTTCATTAACGGAGGAGTCTGGAATGCTGGGATGGGCAGGATTAGGAGGCCTTGTCTGGACCCAGAAGGAGAGAGGACTCCTATGAGGTGATAAATGGTTAGCAATGCATGCTGGGCTATGGGACTGGACTGTGGTGACACAAAAGTCAGAGACGTGTTTCCTTGTATCTCTCATGAATGAGGACACAGGCCAGGGCATTATCAAAGTCAAAGGTCAATGTTAAGAGAATGCATTGTGTGTCCTGATACAGAGAGCAGCCTTCACCCTAGGTGCACAATGAGTCTCCACTCTGCTCCCCTCAATCCTGTGGTCAGGGTCATACACAAGTGGGGACGGTGGCCCAGTACATGCTCTCACCTCGTTCAAGCTGGAAATGAGGCCTGAGGAAGAACTGGAGAGCCCGAAGCGCTTCTCAATGGTAGTGAGGGTGCTTTTGAAGTAGGCACTGTATAGGAGCTGGCAGAGTTGCAGGAGACCATGGCAGAGCACAAATATCTGAGGAAACAGAGAACGTGCTGTGAGGCCTCTGTACAGCAAGCCCTGGCCCCACCAAGCCTTCCATCCTGGGGCCTTTGTTTCCTCATCTGTCACATAGGAACATTTACTTTATAAGGTGGTCAGAGGCTGAAATGCCATCGCTACTCCACCATTGTTCACCCTGCTGGAGGTGGAAATGTTAGCTGCTGCTATCTTTATTGCATTTTATCACAGTTATTGTAAATAGCCCAGTAAAACTACAGGAAAAGACTTTCCCAGGGGACAGGCCTGACACCAGCCAAGCACCTATGGCACGTTTCAGCTTGGACGGCTCTCCAGCAGCATCACAGTGCCCTGCGGGCTGCTGGTCTGCCTTCCCCCTTTGCCTTTAGAGGGCTCAAGTCTACTCCCTATCCCATTCAAATCACTCTCAGCAGCACGAACAAGTCCTAGGTCACGTTGCTCCATTTCTCTTGACCTCCAAGACCCAATCAACTCTTACATCTTCAAGAAGGTGAAGGAATGCTGTTCCCAGATCACCTGGTTTGAATGAGTGTCCCATTTCACATCCACACCAAGCTTGTAACCACTTATCAGGGATATCTGGCTTCTCATCAGGGGTATCTGTGATTGGACCTGTTCTCCCCTGGAGGCATGGTCAAGACCTTGGGGAAGGGACTCTGTATCCCACCCTGTCCTATATGACCAGTCCTGTGACCCCTGAGATGACATGAGTTCCTCAGTTGACAGGACAGACACATGTCAGGCAGGGGAGGGGAGGGATTTGATGGCATCCTTGGTGAGCACCGGGCTGTGCTCTATACTCTCCTCGGTTCTGAACTGTTGGACCAGGCCCGAACAGGGCCTAAGCCAGGAGTCCCACATTCTCAAGCAGCCACTGGAGGGTGCCCTTCTGGGTCACACTTTTCCTCCAGGGAAGGGTGGGATGCTGTTACATTTCATAGTTGCCACAGTTCTTCCCTTAATTGAAAGCTTGCATCTCAGAAGAGCAGCTGGTGCTCCACTTTCATTTCTATTTCCTTCCAAAGCTGAGCCTACCTCTTTGTACAGGCCCTTGTTCCAGGCTGTGCAGTTTCCTACCTTTGAGAGCACAGTCTTACTGAGTGAGGCCAGCCAGGGACTTCCTACAGAGCCCAGGATTCACTGCCTGTCCATGCATCCATACTCACAGCCTCCAAATCCAAAGAGGAAACTAGATGCCTCTCTAGACTGCTACCTACCTCTGAGCCCTGTGGCCACCTCACCCCTCACCAGTGGCAGGAGGAAGTCTGCCTGGCTGCAGGCAGAGGCACCACCTCTGTAATTCACTTCATACATTATATTTGTCTTAATATTTTGTGATGAAGGGATTGTCGAAATCACCTTGTCTCACTTTTTCTTCACGGAATGGGAAACTGAGGTCCAGAGCAGGGGAACCTGAGTGCCTAGCATTATAACAGGCATTGTTTGGAACTTAAGTGTCAGTCACTTGAGGTACTTGGAGTCAGTTCCCCTCTCCTCGGGCCTTGGTTTCCCCAGTGGTGAAGTAACTGGTTTAAATCAATGGATCTTAACTCAGTTTTGAGTCAAAATTGCCTGAATTGAGGAGGCAGTGGTATCTTTGAAATAGTCTAATCCCAACTCAAGACCAGCTGAATCAAAACTGGTGAGGGAAAGTCATTAATAAAAGTTCCTCCAGCAGAATCTGGTGGGCAAAATGAGTTACAATCACTGGACTAGAAGACACATTCAGGCCCTGAGTATCTATGTGCAGAGGGTAATACATGGAACATTAGAAGGGAAAAGCAAAACAAATAGAGAACTCTCATAATTTATAGGAGCTCCCATGCAGAAGGAGCTCCCTGCAGAAGGGAGGACAAGAGCCTTGGAACAGGCTTTTGGGAAAGCAACATGTGATGATGATGAAGGTGATGGTGATGTGAAGCTGATGGTGAAGTGGTAGTGATAGTGAAGAAGATGAAGATGATGCTGATGGTGATGAAGGTGATGGTGGTGGTAAAGATAATGGTGGTGAGGTGATAGTAGCGAAGGTGATGGTGAAGGTGAAGGTGCTGATGATGCTGACGGAGGTAGTGAAGGCAATGGTGGTGATTGTGATGGTGATGAAGGTGACAGTGGTGGTGACGGTGGTGTTGATGGTAGTAAGGGTGATGGTGATTGTGGTGGTGAAGCTCATGGTGATGATAGTGGTGATGATGGTGAAGGTGGTGGTAGTGCTGAAAGTGATGGTGATGGTAGTGATGGTGAAGGTGATGGCAAAGGTGAGGGGGTTTGTCAATGTCTGATTGCTTTTCATGGGCACAGGGCACTGAAGCACACTCAAGCCCAGATTATTTTCTGAGTCAGGCCAGACTTAGGAAAGAGGCAATTTAATTTCAAATCCCTTGATGATTTTCTTCCCCTGACCACCCCCTAAAGGCTAATTCCCCCAAGACTCTATAGTCCTCTTCTCTGGACATGCTCATGAACAATCTCATTTGCCCATAAGATAATGCATTGTACCCAAATCTCAGCTCCTCTTCCAGAACATTCTCCAGAGCACCATGCTCAGGACCACCCCACTGTCTGCTGGCCATGTCCTCCTGAATATTCTTAGACCCCTCCAACTAATCACTTCTTGAATGGGACTCATTGTCTTCCTCATAGACCCCTGACCTTCTTACTTCAATTCCCATTACCTTCATTTAGTTTCCAAGTTAGAAACCAAGAATCTTCCTAGATGCCCGCTCCCCAACCCCTATTGTTACTCTATTGCCAGATCCTGTAATTTCTTTCTGGTTTCTCCATATTTGACCCCTGTTCTCATCTCCAAGTACATGCTTTGACTCGGGTTCTTACCATTTCTCCCCTGGATTACTGTGATTATCTCTCATAGGTCTCTTATCTGCGTGGTCCAAATGTTCCACCAAACCATCCCAGAGACAGAGAGAGAGTTCTCAAAGGCTTACATGAACAGATCATGCCCAAATCAATGTTTTTTTCCCAGATCCCAGTTCCTACAAGACAAAATCCAACACCCTTGGTGTGATATCCTTGATGCTACAGATCTACACCCTGCCTGCCTGCCACTTGACTCCATACCCTGATGAGACATATCACATTTTACAAGGATGGCTACACTAATATCTCCCTCTACATGCCCTTCATGCAGCATGACAGCGACACTCCTTCAGGAGGCAGAGAATGTGGGCCAGTCTTAACTACTTGCTGCTAATAAGAATGAAGCAGAATACCATGTGACTTCTGAGGCTCAGTCCTCATCATGGGTAGAGAATCTGCCTGTTTTTTTCTCCCTTAGGATCCTTAGAACTCAAACATCACATCACAAGGAAGCCCAGTTGTTTTTACACATGGGAAGGCTAAATGTTGGTGTTCAGCTGATAAATCCAGATAAGGTTTCAGCTCTTAGTCAGAAAAATCTATCAGGCATGTTACTGAATGAATCCTCAGATGATTTCTGTCCCAGCCTTTGATGACAAATAGAGCAGAAGTGAGCTATCCCCCACTGAGCCCAGGTTGCAGACTTGCCAGAAAAACTAAAGGTTGTCACTGTTTGAAACACTACATTTTGAGTTGCTTTGGCATAGAGCATTGGAGAGCTGAAAGACTTGCAGCCATATACCTTGCCCTTCAAACATCATCAAGGTTACACTCTTCAAGGTCCCTAAAGTACACACACTTTTTCCGTGCTTTTGCTTGAAATCTCCACAGAATCATCTTTCCTTTTGTTGTCTGGATTACAGCCCTGATCTTCAGAAGCCCCTTTTCCACCATGGGGTTCAGTTGTATGTCTAGTTCATAGTTGCTTCTAAAACTCTAGTCCCCTATTGCTGACTTTTGCACAGAGGCATCTCAAAGGCCTGGAACATGCTGGTGGCACAAGTAACATCTGGCAGAAGAGTGAAGGTTGTCATAGGGAGGGCTGGATCTGAGGCCAGGCCAGGGCAGTGGGCATGTGGGGAGGGACCAGATCAGGGGCTCCTATAGAAGTTGCACTGTACTACAAACATGCTGTAATAAAAAATTTTAAATAAATAATAGAAGTTGCACTGTCACTGATTCCAAATAGAGAAAGAGAAGGGGCTGTATTTACAGCCTGAAGACCAAGAAAGGGCAAATCCCTGCTGGAAACAGGGTCCAGGAGGAGATGTGTCCATCAAGAGGAAGTACAATGAGTTCAGTTTTGGAGCACTTCAGTTTCTGATTAAACTCAGAAAAGACCAATCTGTCTCCAGCCAAATTAGTAATAAATTAACATGGAATGATTAATCATTACCAACTTCCTCAGCTGTCTCATGAAAGAAAGATGGGAATGGTGGGAGAGAAAATCTATCCCAGATCTTTTCCTGAAAGATTTGTCTTGCTATTTCCAGCAAATACAGAAATTTCCCATCTCTTCCCCTGAGCTACTAGGTGAAAGACTCCAACAAGACTGAACTGGCAGCTTTGTACATCCCTGGTGCCTTGCAGAGCCAACCTCACCACCAGCTCTTGGTCACTGCAGCCATATGGGGCCTAGGTACCTCATGGATGCCCTGGCAGAAATGCTGGTATAGATCTGGGCCTCCGGGACCCATTGTATGCAGCAGATATTGTGGCTTCAAGGAACAAAGAGCAGAAAGAAAATGCCAAGAAAAGAGAAAGCAGTAGATGGATGGTTCAACAGAGCTCTCTGGCCAGGGTCACTCAGGGTCATATCTGGCCTCACGTATGGTTTTATGTGGGTGGAACCACAGGACCATGATTCTGGAAGCTCAAATCTATCAAATACCCATTGTATGGCCAGCAGGAGATGGAGCTAGGGTATTCCAGCACAATACAAAAGAACAGAAACCCAACCTTGGAGGAGGACACGGGTTTAAGAGTGCATGGAATGCAGTGCATGGTGGTGTGTGTCTGTAATCCCACCACTAGGAGGCTGAGGGAGGAGGATCGCCTTGAGTTTGAGGCCAGCTTGGGCTACATAGTAAGACCTTGTCTCAAACAAAACAACAAAA